GATGTTCGATCCGACGATGGACCAAGAATCCGACGCCTCCGACGTTTTTTCCGTCGACTTTCGCTCCCAGAACGAAGAGTGCCCGTCATTGGTCTTCTTGATGGCCATTTCCTTGGTTTTCATCTCCTGAAGAGCAATGACGTCGAAGCGAAGCCTCTTGCTGGACTCATTCAAGAGAGTTTGATCCGCCTTCGAGGCAATGGTACGGCAGTTATAGGTACAAATTCGTAAGCAGTCTCCATGCCTCGAAGGCTTTTCGTCCTGTGCACTCCAAATCCTGCGGCGGTTTTTGTCTACAGGTCCCTTCAGGTCGCCGTTTGTTCCAGTGCACTTGGAGCTCGTGCTTCCATCTGCGCCGCTCCGGACCCTCATTGTGCGTGTTGAAGCTGTTGTACCGTCCTCGAGTAGCCAGCCCATTTTGAGGCGGTGATTACCTCCACTGTTAGCCGGAATTTCTTCCATTCCGCCCCCTCGCCGCTCCGATTTAAAAGAGAGAATCGGTTAGATTAGTCTTTTTTCTCGAAAATGCAACTAATATTGTAATTTCCGAAAAAAACTAAACTGGCCAATAAGGTATTAGTAATGAGGTATTTGATTTCAAAGACGTTTTGTGATGAGCAGGACACTAACTGTTCTTTCAGAATAAATAATATGCTAAAGTCCTACTGTATATATAATAATTCCCTAAGTGCCTGGCAATTTGCCGGTGTGGGTCAGTGCGCGTGTGTCTGTTTGGTGATTGCATGTCGGCGTGTGTGAGTGCATATGTTCGACCGGAAACGCATAACTCTTGTTCCCGTGGAACTAAAGCGTACAAATTTGAAGTACAGGCGGCAGGATGGGAACACTGGCGGTAAATGGCAGGAGTGGACTCCACTTACAGGGAGCGGGGTCTTGTTGACTTGAAGGATAAGAGTACTGGATTGTTTGTCGGATGGACCCACATAGATCACACACGCTTACAAACACCCCTACAATTTGATTGACAGATGGAAGAAAAAATTTGGTTTGATGTGTTAATATGAGTTTTCAATCTTATCTAACTTGCATTCATTTACATTTCCAATTTATCTCTGATCAAATTGTCACAGATTGATATGGATCGCTTCATCATTTTCGTTCTCCTTGTGAACGCTAAATATACAGGTTCTTCTTTCCAGTACCGAGGTAGTATTGTTACCCTGGACTCTTTGATGGTCTCTCCTGAACCAGACTTGCTTCCCCAATACCACGATCGCATTGACGAAGTCGGTGAATATGTGGTAAGGTTTAAAAATGTAGATATAGCATTTGACCCCGAATTTTTGAAATTTCAAATTTCGTATGATTTCCAGCCTCCAACGACTGTAAAACCGCATATCGCTATTGCGAGAAGAGGCCGAGGTGTGTTGCATCTTACAAAATCGTGCTTTGTGTAGTTCGGCTGCTATAAATCGATGGATTTGAAGGGATTTCTTCAATATTTCGTCTCATTTTGCTGATTTAAGCAGTATAGGATCATATTCAGTGCAAGAATAAATTGGCTAGTATGTTGGGCATAGGATTTGAGGCAGTCTAATGTCAACGTTTTCGGCGGCTCGCCCTTGTTTGGATGTACCTCACAATTAAAACCTCTTCAGAAGATCGAGCTCTGGTGGCGGAGTTGCGCGAGACTGTAGGAAAAGCAGTAGGTGAAATTGTACGTAAGAAGGAACCACGACCACAAGCAACCATTCAACTGCACGAAGGGTCAACAGCAGAAGATGTCTTACTTTGGCTTCAAGAAAAAGGCTTCAGTCTGAGGTTCATCGTTTGATTTTATTTTTAGTACCAGCTGTTTTTCATATTGGCATTCTCTTTTCCAGAGTAATTGAGCTACTTGACGGACAAGACGGAGCGAATTTGTTTGCTCTGAACAAAGCAACCCTAATGCAGGCGTGCGGTAAGGAAGAAGGCAGTCGTCTCTACAGTCAGCTACTTGTTCAGAAAAACCAAAGCAACGTGAGCCTAGTTATTCTTTATCAGATCTGCACCGTAGATGAACATAACTAACAAGTAGCGAACGCATTAATTGAGGAGGAAAGCTGGCGGCGTCAAGGTGCAGGTGCCAGCTCATGCCTAGGTAGCAAACTGACTGTATTTTGCCAACGACGCTCCCAGATTCACCAATCAAGCTCCTCTCTAAGCCGTCTTCACTTGTTTACTATTAGAGTGTCCGAAAAGTTTTGAGAAAATTCAGTTGGTTTTTTTAATACAAAATAACTACAGCAATAAACTTATGGTTAGATAAGTGGTCAAGATAATGGCCCTTCTTAGCCACAATGTCTCCCCATCAACCAGGCTGGGCATTGATGCCATGCCTCCAATATGAAGAGAGGCGTGGCGCAATTTATTCATTTACAACCTTCACCTCTCGACAGTTGGTGAATTTTTTTCCTGTCGAAGAGGCTTATGGGCTTCCGAAAGTATGGCAGTCGTAGGGGCTATGGTCAGATGAATATGTGAGCTTGGGGTAGCCAGGTTATAACAAGTCTTTCCAGCTCATCCATTGCCGTTCTCGCGTGGGGTAGTCGAGCACCACCATCGCAGCGAAATTCACTTCTAGTCGGTGTAAAATGAGAGCTCAAAACAATATCTCTCTCCATCGGTAACAGAATATCCTTGCATTTACCGCAGTAAACTCTGGTAGGGTCTCATAGTAAAACATCCGGTAGAACAAAGGAAGAATGAGCTCATGTTCTGTTTAGCGTAGAAGCCTCGCTTTATAGCGGTCTATGGCCCTAAGTTTGCTATTGGGCATTGCCATTAGCTGTGTGGACTTTCATATGTTATTTACTTTTTATCACGAGCAAAGATGAAGTCGTTTGATGTCGTCGTTCGCTTACAGTCGAGCAGCTTCTGAAAGCACTGACTAGCACTTGGCACTCCTGATCAGTCAGGGATGTGCGCTATTGCAAAGAATCTTGCTTTGAAAATGGCTTTGACTGGAATATCGTGGTTGGTTTATGTGGGAGTAGAGGTTGTCTTTTACATTTTCTGACACTTAGGAAGATTGCTTTGACGGGAGGCTAGAACTGTGTCCGTGTTTTAGGACAGTGGACGTTTGTTTTGGTGGTCGAAGCAAACCTCTTCTCAGATAAGGCGGTCGTGCCATTTATGGTAGGTGGCAAAGCTCCGGTTGTCGTATCGGTAACACATCCTTCCGTCTGCGACTACTTAGTTCGAACTACCACGTCAAATACGTCAAATACCGATCAACTTGATCTATCAACAATGCCTTTTTCCGTGCTATTGAATCTGTGGTCCTTCTTCAACGCGTTTGCGAGCAATATGCTTTTAGTGCTGAGGGGGCAAATTTTCTCAAATTTTTCGGACACCATAGTACCTGCTCCTTTTTCTATCGTGCTCTCAGTTTCGACTAGTTCTTTCTTGATTATGCTAGCCATTTCTTTTTTGGCTTCCTCATGGTCGCTTTCCTCGAGCGTAGACTACCACTGCCTATGTTAGCGGATAGTTACGTGGCCTTTTCAGCGCCTTTAATTTGACAGAGGATCTTGTCATGACCTCCTTAAAGTCATTATCCAAAACAATCCACATATACGCGTCCAAGTGCATGCCCATCTAAGCGTCCTCATCTCTGCGAACAACAGCTGTCTTTCATCTTTCCTGTCTACAGGTCAGCAGCCATGGCTGCATGCATACACCACTGTCGAATCACCTTTCCCCTGAGCCTTCTGGAACACCATCTGTCGAAAAGAACACTAGTGGACTATGTTCACTTTATCCGTTCCGCTTTCCGCTTTCCGAATGACTTAGCCGCTGACAATAGCCTGTTCCTTACTACTTTTAGTGACTAAGTCGTTCTTCAGACATCGGAAGTCCTGCACTTTTAGTGGTTTCCCAAGGCTATCTACGATATTAACTGCGTACTCCTCCGAGCTCGAGCTTAGTCTTTTTCATATTCCCTCGTAATCTCTGGAACGTTCTGCCTTTTCGCAGCTTTTCTTGCGCTTTTCATTACTCTTCACTATCAGAGCGATGTCGTAAGATGGTCTTCAGCGGACAAGTGTCCTTATACGATGATATCTATTGTAAGCACTAAGAGTAACGGGCTTATAGCTTATCTCTGTTGTCGTAGCGTCTACTGCTTTATTAGACAAAGAGAGGTGCTATGACCGCAGCAGGTGGTAAAAGTTTTCTCGAGATCGAAGAAAGCAAGGTGGCAGGGTCCACACTTTTCTGATACTTCTCCATCACTTGTCTAGATGTGAAGGTGGCACCCGTAGTAGATCGTCTTGACATGAAGCGGAACTGCTTCTGTCAGATCGTGAAAAAGGTAAACACTCAAACTTACCTCTAGGTAGCTGGAACACTCCATCGCGTCCTCTTCTATTTTAAGGTGAGCGACGCCACTCAAACCTTTGCTCTCCGAGCGTCTCCTATTTCTCAATCGAAACCCCATCCAAACAATCCTTCCCGACCTTCTCTTTCCTAGTGCTTTCCAGGACTAATCGTCTATTCAGAGTGCTATAGGGCCAGCATTCGCTGATACCTAAGAGCTGTATTCACTCTAGAATCTTCGTTTGGAAGGTTGTCAAAGAAATCTTTCCGTCTGCTTCTCACTCCTCCAGGCTTCCTCAGAATTGCACTGCCGCTCCTTCACAGCCTTCACCACTCTAATGTCTGTAGTGACCCGATGCTGTGCTTTACCCACCCGTAAGACGAAATCCTCTACTTACCGAACACCGGAATTCTAGTACGGTCTCCACGTCCCTTTCAATATTATGTGCTTTGCTAGGGCAGCCCTTGCGAGCCTTTCGCAACACATGCAGCTAGGTTTTTTGGATCTTGCTGCGCCATTTTCCGATCTTTGAAGCAGCTTTGTTCAGCCTCTCAACTCACTGGCCTTTTTAGTTCCTGAACCACGCTTCTTTGCCCCTTGAAACCCAGCTCGAGTCTTCTTCAGCGTTTCCCTCGCACACCGTTTTCTTACTGTCGCCTCAGGCCTACTGAATCGATCTTCCGCAATCTTTAATACCCATCCCATTATCTTCCGTGTGTTCCACTTTTTCCGCTCGGTTGCAGCTCCCATCACCGGATCCTCCGTCTTTGACTTTTTGAAGAGCTCGATGGTCATATTTCCTAAACCGTCTGTACTTGGAGCAGGACCTCAGCTAGCAACCTTCTTGTGAATGCATGGTCCATTTGCGTTTGTTTCCTTCCAACGTTGTAGTCACATCCTTAGCCTGCCTTTTCGTGGAGAAGGTGCTGTACGCTGGGTCCGCTAGATCAGAGAGCTCCCCTCGTTTTCCATTTTTATCCTACACTTTCGCGTACCCTTTCCGTTCTCTGCCGTCGTGCCATTCAGATCGCCCACAATGATGAGATCCCCTTTCATGACTGATGGCAACGGTTGTCAAAACTTATACAAACTCATCTCATCTTTCTTGCACTGGCTGCAGCCTACTCGCGGTGGGTCCATCCTGTTCATAGCCCCTCTCTCGTGTCTATTATCGCAGCAATGATTCAACCGCTGATCGTGTTGCAGCCGAAATAAAGTTTTTGAGGGACTTGACTATTGCTACAGCGCATTATTTCGTTTGGTTTCTTCTATGTTGTAACGGAGTTTGACACCCTTTCCGACTTTTTTTGTATGCGCTCATCCAACATGTCCCTTAGAGGAATCGGACACGAATATTTCGTGCTTCATTGGATGAGCAACCTCTCATGCGCACAGACATGAGACATGAGCCTGCACCCTTACACTTGGTAACCCCTAAATTCACGTGCACCGGAAAGATTACAATCGCTAAAAGGAAGAAGAATTATTGTAATACTTCTGTGATATTTACAAATGAACAAAAGGCCACTGGACCGCCAGGCTCAGCGCAGCGCGATTGGCTGCTACCATAGCTTTGGATGGCTTGGATGACTTTCAATTCACGTCTTGCTTCCCGAACAGCTTTTTCTTCACACTAATGGCGTTTTTACAGTATCGGACACATTCGAGTGCTGAACTGCAGGCGATCTTGAACTATCGAAAGAAGCACGTCGATGTAACGAATGAAGCTGACGGCAAGAATGAAGCTGACGGCAGCGAGGAAACTACCGCACTGTAAAATCACCTCCTTCCAACTTCCTGACATATCATATAACGAATTCTATCATATTATGCCACTTTATGCCATTACCTGCATTTCAACTGGAACTCTATTGCTAGTTGCGTAGACCTAAAATGTAGAAGCCCACTGTTGCCTGAAGCAGTTGCCCAAACTCGAGAACTGCTTTTGTCTGTTGCCTTATTTGCTGCCGTCTGTGATATTTTTCCCAGTGTTTAGGAAACTTTAAGGAATCTGTATTTATCTAGTTATAAAAACGCTTAGAAAGTTCCATTACTGACTCTAATTTCTCGTACTCCTTTACGCTAGAATATCTTGTCGAACAGCCTGTTCCATGGCTTTTTAGCTCTTTTCTTACTTTTTCCTCCAATTAAATATTGATCCAAAGTTCATTCCGCTTTGCGCATTCCTTCGATACCACCCGGCCATCTCCACATGGCCCATCCTTTCGAACTCCTCATGCCCTATTTCAAAACCCCCACAATTATATTTGTCTATGGAGCGGATGAAGCCCGTATATCCTTGCTCCTTGTGAATCACTTTATTCCTTGAAGTGTGCCTTTGTAATGGTGTTTACGGATCACCTATGAATATATAAAATGATAATAAAGTTATCTATAATGCTGATGAGAAGATCTGTGTGGTAAAGTAGTTGCCTTCTATCCCACTCGAATGTGTTCTACCAGACCACATCCAAGCGGTTGCAATGGTCATCGAAGTGTGCTGAAAAATTCCGAACGCCTCTTGTTTTTACCTTTATTGATATGGAAAAATTTCGAAACGAATGCGGTCTTGTCAGCATTGATCAATCAAGAGGTGGGCCTTTCCTACATAAGAACACTAGCTGACTGCAGTAGTCGCTGCACCGCAGCGGTGAAGGTGTTCGATCGAACTCTTGCCATTCCCATAGGGAATGGTGTGAGGCGAGGGAACACTATTTCGCCAAAGCTGTTCACAGCCGCGCTGCAGTGGATTATTAAGTCCCTAGACAGTTCATGAAGGCTTGAGCTTTGGCTGACGATGAGCAAATTAAGATCAATGGTCCGCCTTGTCTTACCTTTTACGATTTTCTTAGCGTTCTATGAACTTGGACAACGACGTAGAGGAACAACTAGTGGGACGGCAAAATACGACATGGGCAGCTTCCGGACCTCTGAAAGAAGTTACTGGTCGTCTGGGTGACCCGGAACTTCGCGCTAGCTTGTTCGATTCCACAGCTCTTCTGCGCTCCGTTACGAGTCAGAGACTTGCGCGACCAGTGCATTCATGCCAAGAGCTTTGAGCAAGTCACATAGCACTCAAGCGATGTCTTTTAGGGCTCAAACGACTCCTCAATATCGAGCCGGACTCCGCGGCTCCGAAGTGCGCAGAATGTCTTGCCCTCGCGAACCGATGGAATACATAGAAGAGAACAAGCTTCGGTGGGCCGGTCATATGAGAAGAGATGTGACATATGGCAAAAAGAGAAGTCGAGGGAGCTCCCTTAAAATCTTCACGAACTAACGATGGGCCTGCTGCGAGATGGGGAGATGTGCACGTAGATAAACAGCTGCGATAGCAGCTGAACGATTCTTCACATCGTCATCTTCGTCGGATGTTGAGACTACCTAGGATGGCGATCGCTAAAGACTGTGGTAACTAGATGGCCTAATAATACAAAGAAGTTGTATCGGATGAGATAGAACATCTTCATTGACTAGTGATGAAGAGCAAGAAGACTCGAAAAGAACAAGACAACCCAAACCTTTCTTTCCTATGTTTCGCTCGTGAAGGTGAATTTCTGGGAAGTCGCTAACTGCTTTTGTCATGCCACTGATACGGTATGTGCATGTAAGCAGTAGTTTAGAGTCTTGTTAGCAGTTGCAGCAGAACTCCTATTTCACACTTAGCTTTTGCATTTATACTACTGGTTCCTTAATAACTTTAGACTCTGTTTTCAAAATGACATTTCCCCCTTCCCGCCATTAACGAGGTCTGTTTTTAAGCAATCTGAAGATCCTGATATGTCTTATGCAGTGCCCCAGAATTATGAGCGCCTACACATTGCAGTGTACTTGAAGCTTCTCAGCTGAGAATGGGAATGGAATCGACACGCAATTTGTCTACATTACGTACGACAACTGACTACTGACTACTCATGCAGTAAAGCGCTATCACAATAACATAACAAGGCAATGAAAAAATGAGTATGGTTCATTTACTAACAATGGATCGCACCTCCGGTGGTTCCTTCCAAAGTGGTCTTCAGAAACCCTCTGAGCTCCGTAGCAACAGCAGAAGGAAGTGCTTAAGATGTGGAAAAGACAAACTCCATCCGAAAAAGAGCGGTTCTAATAAGAGATCGACAATGGGTAAGTGGTAATAAGTAAATCCCTCGAAAATCCTGCTAATATTGTGCTCAGAAGCCAGTGAAGTTGGTGGAGTAGTATCTGCAACCAAGGAACAGAAATTACATCGGTGAGAGGCGCCATTCTTAACCTTCTTTGTTCTATCAATACATATATATATTTAAATTTTTTGTAGTAAATCTGTTTCTCGCAATCGTGCTGCAACAAAACATCGAAAGCCAGTCTCCCGAAACGCTTTGAGAATGAGTCGCCAACTCTCTGATGGCTCTCTCAATTCTCAGAAAAGGAAACAAGGATCTCAGGAAAGGACTTCTCAGAAAAGTAAACGAGGAGGAGATCTAAACCTACATGATGATGAGGACCGAATCGAGTATGTGATCAGTCTCGAATGTCATTCGCAACGCCTACCGTTATCACTAGCTNCAAACTTTTCTAACAATCTCAAGAGAACTTCCCGGAATTACCCGAAGCCACGTCGAGCGAGCGGCAGACTTTGAACCCGAATTCCTATATACTCACGACACTCTTGCGACAGTGGTTTCACGACAAGTATGTTAGTGGTATGTTCGAATGGTATTACAACCAATGGGTGTGGGATTCTGTGTGCGAACGGCTGCACGCCGTTCGCACACAGAATCCCACACCCATTGGTTGTAATACCATTCGAACATATCAGAGTAATACTCGTAAATAGAAGTCAAATCATCTCGAAGCGACTATGAGTTTGATCGCAGAAAAGCTAGTGATAACGGTAGGCGTTGCGAATGACATTCGAGACTGATCACATACTCGATTCGGTCCTGATGATCATGTAGGTTTAGATCTCCTCCTCGTTTACTTTTCTGAGAAGTCCTTTCCTGAGATCCTTGTTTCCTTTTCTGAGAAATTATTTTCTGAGAATTGAGAGAGCCATCAGAGAGTTGGCGACTCATTCTCAAAGCGTTTCGGGAGACTGGCTTTCGATGTTTTGTTGCAGCACGATTGCGAGAAACAGATTTACTACAAAAAATTTAAATATATATNGGGGGGGGGGGGGGGGGGCTGCACGCCGTTCGCACACAGAATCCCACACCCATTGGTTGTAATACCATTCGAACATACCACTAACATACTTGTCGTGAAACCACTGTCGCAAGAGTGTCGTGAGTATATAGGAATTCGGGTTCAAAGTCTGCCGCTCGCTCGACGTGGCTTCGGGTAATTCCGGGAAGTTCTCTTGAGATTGTTAGAAAAGTTTGTGCTACCCCAAAACCGCTTCCAATGGTATACTTTCAGAGGTTTGAAGAAATCAAATCTCGTCATATATCGCGACTCTCGTGGAAGATTCGCTAAAAAACCCCGCCTCAATTGACAAGTATCTCAAGTCACGAAGCAGTCATCGACATCAGACTAATGTTTTTCCCGAATTTGTCAGGTTCTCCGAACTTGATAAGAACAGCAAGATCTGTCTACCACTAACAATATTTGATCATTCTGAGAAATTTATCCTCTTGTCGTCATTGGAAATGGTAACATCAGAGTCGTGTTTCTGTGCAATGAATTTGAATAAATTTTTACAAAAATGTCACAGTTGTTCACGATCAACGCTAGAGAGATTATTGATAGCTGCGAGGATCAAAGAAACTACAATGATGCCTGAGCCACCTCAGATTTGTCCTGAGATTTGTGCTTCTTCAGCAAAACGGTTTGTATGTTAATTTTGGGGCTTAGTGCAAAAGCCAAGGTTCTCCTGTGGGAAACCAGGCTACTTGTTATATGAAAAGGGTGAGAAGGATAACAACTGTCAGTGAGTCTAACGTTCTCTCAAGAAGTCTTTGAGCTTTGATGTCGGCCTGGACGTGATCGATGTCTGCCTAGGCCATCCAAGCCTTTCATCCCTCCGGGGTCGGTTAATTGGTACCAGACTCGTCCTAGAGGATAAAAGCGCTGACTTGTACATGGCCTGACCACCGCAAGTCATTGTGTAGGCCACATACGCACTCATTACGCCACTACGATTCTGAATGGAAGTCGAGTGCGTGGGCGAATCCCTCTGCTGGGATCGATAATTTAACTTTGTGAACAGCTCTTCGATGAAAAAGAAAGTGAGTTCCACTGAGACTGAGTTTGAAAGCGGAGCTTGATGTGACCGATTAATATCTCAGTGATAGATCTCAAGTGTACTGCGTCTGTAGGAGCGCAGTTATTTATTACTGGGAAATCGGTCTCACCTATACCACGATCGTGATTATTTCTATAATCGAGGCAACTGTTATCGCTGTTTCCAGCACAGGTCTGCACCTGGCGCACGGTTTCGCATCGACAACTTCCGAACTTACGTACCCTAAGCA